TTGAAAACATAAAGCAGAAAAAAGTGCAAGGCTACAGGCTTAACAAACCTCATTATGTATTGCATTGGCTCCAGCATGGGTACCATTCCCACCTAACACAAAGAGCATGTTGATCCCTCTTTCCTGGTGTTGTCATGGAAAAGTATATGAGAACACTACATACCAAACATCATGGGTCTTTTTAATATTAGCACTTTATGCAAGAATACAGAACTTGAAGGCTGATTGAGTACCTCCATGCTGTCCACAATGTCACTAACACTGGGTCCGCCACGTGAAACTCCTAACAAGCTTCCACCAGAAAGGTGAACATTCTGCACCACTTTCCTGGATAGCTGATGATAGAAGCAAAATTCATACAGAGTAATTGGAATCTCTAAACTTAGACATGAATGATGAGAAAAGCTGTTACATTGCTATATTTGATACTTTAACAGAAAAGAAATGATAATTTACCGGCATTTCACTCAGGCCTTCATCAGAAAATCCACGATAACCAAAGGGGATCCCAACTATCCTTTTGACACCATAGATTTCAAGTGTGATGACAATCTGCTAACAGGTATATAATATAAGAATGTATAATAGAACTAACCCCAACCATTAAGCATAGCATATAAATTTCCAGAGAAAATGTTATTTTAGTCTAGAGAGTTCCCAGAGTAGCAGATGGTAACATTCTATGTGTCGGAAAGACTCATAAAGGACATTTACATGATACTAACCTGTCGGATGACATCATTGAGACCAGGGCATAAGCCACCACAAGTAACAATTGCTGCCTTTACTTCTTCTGGTTGGAAGTATATTTTTTCCCGAGGCCCAGCTCTATGGACCCTATGAAGATTTCAACATCATATCACCCACAAAATATTATAACTTCACAGTGATGGATAATATTTCCTATGCCAGGCAGACATGATAATGATCTACAACTACCACAATTATATTACATGACAAGATGAATGAAATTAGAGAAGAAGTACTAATGCATATCAAGTTTCATTAATTTCTTATCTACTGTTTAAAAGAAGTGCAGATAACAGAAATCAGACATTTGATGAAAATAGGTTATGTGAACAAGGGAACGCAAAGCATGACGCCCTCATAAAACAACTAGGAGGCTGAATACAGAATCACTTGTGGTAGCTGAAGCAGTGAACGGAAAAATGTCACTCAAATTGCAAAAACTTACAATGAAAACTCAATTACACGTTCTAAAACCACACATCATCACCATACAAACATGCATTCTAACTTCTCAGGCATGTGTAGAGGGCACTCCAATGTTCTTTCTTGCTCAGATGTAATTTTTCCTTATAATTCATAACTCTGATACTAAAATCTTATACAATGTGGATGCTCCATGCATTCAGTGAAGTTCGTGTCAGCTATACTTGGATGGGATGGAAATAAGCATCAAAATAATTTATCGCATAAAAAACAGAATTTTGTATGGAAAAGAAAAGAAAAACCCTCCTTCGTTTCTGTAATTTTTCAAGTTCTTGGAAAAAAAATGCAAGCTTTACCATTTGCAAAGACTCATAAAGGAGTTTACCATTGTTCGACCCAACTACAATTGGGATCAATGCACTCAGCTCCAGCAGATGTAGGTGATGAGTAATGTATGACCTGAGAAAAACACAACAAAAGAAAACATCGTTAGACTTAGGAATCACTTCATGAGTTGAACAAACTTTTTTTTTCATTTACCTTAAGAAGCACCCTGTCATTGTTATTTATGTATCCATGCCATTCCTCATCAGATGGATATCCACCAGCGAAATCTTCCATGATTGGAGTCCTCATCTTTAGACAAAACGTAGAGGGAATTGGGTCTGCATCAGGAAAGATATCAGTGATATGAGGAATGTTAAACCGTCTCTCAAAATCTCTTTGGTAATTTGTTTTCCAATCAGGATCGCTGAAATCAATCTCTTTGTTCCCAATCCGTGCTGCCAAAACGCCAAGATTTCTTGATGGGGCCCTCCAGTTTCGTAAAGACACAACACTTGAGCGTAGTAGTGGGTTTTTGTACTTGTTGAAAGAGACGCGACCACCATAACTGAGCTTGGAGCTGCTTATCACGGCGGCATGCGACACAGAGTCCATCGCCTTTGAAACCGGACGGAGATTTCTATGCTCTGTTTTCCTCTGTTTTAGCTACCCAGACCGAACTCCGCACCTTTTTAATGTTTCTTTGCTTTTCTAACAAGTGGGAAAGTATACTTTAGTGGTTAATAAACAAATCCCTCATATTAAAAAATAATTAATTAGTCCTTATATTTTGAAATCTACACGTAACTAAATCCTTTTCATCCATTTCATGTTCTTTTTCTCTTTTATTTTCTCTTAATAATTATTCAATATGAATATATTAAATAGAAAAAAAAATTTCATTGAATAAATTAATATCAAGTTAAGTACAGTTAACAACGTTTAAGAGGCTAATTAATGGTTTTTAAAATTAAAAGAATTATGTAATATAATTTGTAAAGCTAGAGGGGCTAATATACAACATGAGATTCAGTTAGAGTTGAATAGAGGGTAGACGGGTAGAGCGACAAGAGGACGGCATCTTGTAATCAAAGCCTTGTACCTTTTCACTCCTTCATCAGCTTTTGTTTGGGTGTGCTGTTGAGTTGTGTTTTGTCCAAAAATATTTGGTCGTACAAATTGTTTCATGGAAAGTACTTTTCGATTAATAATATTTCGCTAACATTTCTTTTTTAGAAGCTGAAATTTGAAAATATTAATTGTGAAAATCCCATTGTAATTTTGGACTTGGTGGACATGACATAGTAATGAGATGACGGTTTTAAATCTTTCTTTTTTTTCACAACAATCATGATATTTTTAATGAATTTTTTTATTAACATGAGGAATTTTAAATGTTAATTAAAATATTAATTCTGTTTAATAAAATAAATTAAAAATTATTAACACTAATTAAAAATTAAGTTGAGAAATTGAGGAAAAAATATATTAAAATATTAGATATCGTAACTTTTTTTTTTAAATATTTTGATTAGTATCCTAAGAGATATTTAGTCATGGAAATTGTTTCTTAGAAAATATTTTCCATCAGTTATTAATTAAAATATTTTTAGTTATTATTCTAAAATAAAAGGGATAGATATACAGAAGATAGAAACATATTTTTTTTATTAAAAATATAAAAACGAAGAGATAAAAATAATCTTAAAATAAATATGCATATGGAGATACGTGAAAAGCCCATTATAAATGCTGGGCTTTGTGCTGTAGTGGCCATAAAAAAAGCTCAGTGAGGAGACGTGGCGCCTGATGGACATGACATAGTTACGAGATGCGATTATCATCTTAAATACTTGTAATAAAATAGGACTTAGCCTAATACTACAATGGCAGCAGGTATAACAAGGGTCTCTTGCTGCTACTATCATCACCTGATTCTGAAGAATAAGAATGGTCTTTCTGCCTCTGTAGCTGTCTCCACCAGTTTCAAGAAGATGGTAACCAACGCTGCCGCCGCCACCATCACGGCTAGTAGCAGCATTAATCATGGTGAGTACAGGAGCATTGCGGAGAGAGTGAGTTTGGAAAAGGAAATAAAAAAGAGCAAATTCATAGCCATAGCTGCTCCCATCTCTGATGAAGAATCCGCCTTCTCCTTCCTCTCCGAGGTGAGAGATCCACGTGCCACTCATAATTGCTGGGCTTTTAAGGTAGGACAGCACAGCCGTTGTAATGATGATGGTGAACCATCCGGGACTGCTGGCAAACCTATTCAATCTGCTATTCTTTCTTCTCATATCGACAGAGTCATGGTCGTTGTCATCCGGTACCATAACATCATCCCTTTCTTTTTCTTTTTATTTCCCTTGAGTTATTACAATCCTTTTCCTATCCTAATATAGTATGATGATTTTAATGAATATTATATTCATAAATTCAGCTATTTTGGAGGTATCAAACTAGGAACTGGTGGGCTGGTTAGGGCTTATGGTGGGGTTACATCTGAATGCTTAAGAAATGCCCCTACTTGTCTCGTTAAATCTAAGGTTTCTTTTTGCATCTCTCTGATTTCCCACTTTAATTTTCAACACCAGTCACCATTTCTTAATCCCTTTCTTTAGGTCCCTATGGCCGTGGAGGTTCCCTTTGATCTCTTAGGACTCGTGCAACATCAGGTAGGCAGGTTATGTATTATTAATTACTACACACACACATGTAGATTTCTTTAATCTGATGTATCACCATCGCTAGACATCAAAAGAAATAAAAGAAATGATGAAATTTAGTATGTGAGCTATAGTGGTTTATTTCATCAGTGAACATTTGTCATAAATTAGGATTCACTGTATTTTTCCCTTAGTGCCAGTTTTTCTTGGCATGCCTACATGTTATTCTACTGATCGAAATGGGAATGGTCGCTTGTAAATTGATCTTGTACTCGGTTGTTACAGCTACAGCATTTTCAAGTTGAGGACATCAAGCAGGATTATGAGACTGGTAAAGATGGTTTTGCCATGATCTCTTTCAAAGTTGATTTTGACCAGGTTGAGAAATTGGAGAATGCTCTCAAAGCAAATTGTAGCCGACAACTTGTGTTTTATAAACAGTGACACAGACTTTGATGATATTCATACATGCGTATGACAATGTCCCATACAAACTCCATCGCGTGGAAAACAGTTTCAGCACTGGTAAGTGTACTCTTTCACTATGTAGAGTATAAATCTTCACCCCTGCAACTCTTGTAGGGTTCGTATAATTCTTATAATGGATTCTTGGTGTCTATAAAAAATAAAGATTGAGTTATGCTAAGAAGTTGGTTGTTGGTTGACCTGATACTGAGGGATATTTACACATTTTTGAAGTTAAATATAATCGTATACCCTTCATTATCTCATATGCCATCTGACAAGCATACAATTACCCTAATTTTCTTTCACTGTTCAATAAATCTGAACTAAAACGTTGTCTTGGATAGAAATTGAAGTCTGTGTGGAAACCTCACTGTTCAATAAATCTGAACTAAAACGGAGTTGTCTTAGATAGAAATTGAAGTCTGCGTGGAAATCAGGCTTTATTTTGATTTCTTATTCTCATTTTGGATTACTGGGAACATAATATTTTGCATGCAATTGATTTTATGTCTTACTAATGCTGGCTATAGTCTCTTGCCCCATCATACAGAGGCCAACTGATGCAATATCAGTATCACGCACACTAACAATACCATTAGATATGCTGAGTGAATCCTCACACTTTCTCTATCCTGCCTGATCCCTATCATAAATTTCTTAGGAATAATCAGTTATAAACAAGATCCTTAATCTGGTCTTTTGTCATTTGCATATGAGCATCTTTTAAGGTGTTAGAATGTTGAACCATAAAATGTGATTTTTCAATTAAAAAAAAAAACTCACATGGATTTAATACCATAGGTTTAATCATTATAATATCATGTGTATAGTAACTCATAAGAAACCATATTCATCCAAATACTTATTGCAGAAGTATGGTATGACAAGAATAACGATAGCTTCTTGTATCTGTCACCAGTAAATAATGAAACTGAATATGCTTAAAGTGAAAAATTGAGGACAGTATACACAAACCTCTTGATGTGAAAATAGAAGTAAAACCCTCCAACGTATAACCATGGCATGTCAGTTAGGTGCCTGAACCATCTAATAGTTATAAGCTATGAGGCACAGTGGTGGAAAATGTAGCATCTGAAGTAATTTGACAGAAGGTCGGGAGAGTTTGAAGACATTGTTGTTGGAATAGTTGGAAGCTTAGGTATGAGGAGTGGAGTTGATGGAAGTGGTAATGTCACCTTTGTGACTGTGGACACTGTAGGCAGGAAGGGAAATTTGGCAAAGATGGGATTCAGGTGCTTTTGAAAGGAGGCAGTAACACATAGTTGGTTAAGTTTGCAGTATGTGGAAAGCAGTTGACGACAATGATGGCAATAAAGATGGTATTCAGCAGTGTTGGCAGCGAAGGCAATGTGGCCTTTGGTGGAGGTGGGACTAGCTAGTTCCAGCAGTCATGGTGGATTGGTGGTGGTGAAGCTGCTAGTGTATCCAAAAAACCTGTCAAGCTGCCAGGTTCGCATTGATTCATGGAAAATGGTAATGGTACAATTAAAGACAACTTGCAATTACAAAAGTGAAAAAATGACTCCACAGTTAAAATAAAAATGTTTAAAAGAAGCCTTATTCGAACAAAGAAAGCAACCTTTTTTTTTCAGTATGGAGATATTTGTTTGAGAACTGTGTTGGAGGAAAGCAGCATATAATGGAGAAGAACTGATTAATTCAAGTCCTCATCGACTATATATGTCCATTGAAGCGATAAGCTTAGACACAAGCAATGTACAGGGAAAAATGTATTTTTGAAAGCTATCCTATAATGTTTGAGTTGGTTGGAATTGAGAAAATCCATCTCATTATTAACCATATTGTATCCTCTTTGAGTTTTTATTTAAAGCCATTTAGACATACATGCTTGTAGTCTAATCTAATTAAGAGGCATAAAAGGTTAGATGAAATTTCTTGTGCTTGAAAAATTATAATTTGGTAGACAGCTGATAGGAGGGATAGAAGATCTCTTCAGAATCAAGCATCAGGCCTTTTTCCTCAGATTCTTGTTGTTGGGTTTAATAAATAAAAGTAAAATCTTGTGAAACATTACATATACACTAACTAGTTCTCCATTCTAAGTTTACAATCTAAGAGTAGCATGCATGCATCCTGCTGTCTATCTACTATTGATAAAATAAAATTTACAATAAATAACAGCCTCCATGAAATTTTACACCACAAATTATCACAACAGAGTAAGCTTTGGCCTGTTACATGTCCTCGCCATATTCGGCTTCTCGGTGAGAGCATTTAGAACCCTCCTTAGCATCTCTAACTCCTCATTCCCATTTATTCCTTGTACCCACAAAACACACTTGGTCCTTCCACCCATTGTCACCATCTCTGCCCTCACTACCTTTCCTTTCACTGATCTCACTGCCCTTGCAACATCAGACAATAGCTTCCTTTTATCATCACAGCTGAATACTACTTTCACAACTTCCTGACCTTTCCCCTTACAGGAACCGATTCTTAACTTGTCAGCCCCACCAGGAAATACACATTCCAATCTACCACCACCATATATTTCTTTCAATTCTGACACTGTATTTGTCAGCTCTTTCACGCACCGGATTGTTTCTTCAAGCACTGATGCTTTGTTCACCTGTTTATAGCAAGCACAGATGGAATATGGATGCATTAGCATATAAATGGAGGACTTTTCTGTGTGTGTGCTTGCTGGCACACGTGTGAATATTTGAATTGAAGTGCATACTGTGTGTTGCATACTTTTATCAAGTTGGGGAGAATGGTACGAAGGGTAGCGAACTGGGTATTGATTCGACTCCGGCGGTTACTCTCAGCCATGCTGTGTTTCTTGGCAGCAACTAGTTTAGATTCCTCTGATATTAATTGTTTGGTCATTGAATTGTTATATGTTGTTTCATTGATAGAGTTTAGTAATGCTTGCCGAAAATCATCTTGATTTGAGCATGTTCCTGCTGAATTACTGTGACTTGAAAGAGGTTGCACATCATGTATCTGCTATGCAAAGAAGTAAACTATCTTAAGAAGATCAAGGAAATCAATTATACATAGCACAAAACAAAAGAGAGGTACCTGTCGCAAGGCCATGAAGCTAACACAGGTTGGCCTGATGTTGAAGTTATTCCTAGGCAAGAGAAGTCGAGACGGATGATATCTATTCCAGTGTGAAAAAGAAAAGATGGTAACCCTGCTCGGTTTATATAGGCAAGCAAATACGTATGAAATAATTATTGCTTAATTGCTTTTTAAAGCATATCTGTAAGATAGGATATGCATGACCGTTGCAATGAAAGGAGGTATCAAACCTAATAATCAACACAATCGAAAAACCCTCCCTCAATTTATTGTCTGATTTAATTCCAAGATCTTGTAATCTGATGCCCTCGTTATAATCTAATCCCTGCAGTTTTTTATGATTTTATGAGCTCGACCCTGTGGTTTCGAAAAATCACAAGCTAGTTTATTGACTGAAGTTGAATGTAAATTCTTTTAGAAATTTCTAAATTACAGTTCTTAAATGCATTTTAAAAAAATATTGTCTCTGCAGAGGGTGAGCTCGTAAGGTTTAATTAGAAATGAAGGACATTTTAGGGGAAAATAAAAGAATAATTGAATTATTATGAAAACCGGACTAAGTTAAGACAAATATGAAAATATAAGGATTTAGCATTAAGATTTGTAAGCCTAAAGGATTAACTAATTATTTTGCGAATAACTACCTGGGGCAAGAATCTGAGAAAAATCAATAATAGCCCTTTTGATGCCTGAGAGGAAGAGAATTGATGCTACATTGTTAATAGCCCTTATAATTTTTTTTCCTTGTTGCGCGAATTGATGCTACATTGTTAATAGCCCTTTTGTTTTTTTTTCCTTGTTGCGCAAAGATCCTAGCTGCTCATCCTAGATTGAAAAAATAATAATAGACTGCTACAATTTACATATATTCATTTGTAACGACACATCTGTTACAAAGCATCAAAAGTAAGATCAGCAAATGAGTCGGCTCTCTCTGGGATATTGGAATTGACTTGATTCAAGAATCGAAGGAAAACAAAAACTCTGGTTCAGAAAAGCAATGCCAAAGCCAAAATTGGGCTGGAAGAAGGGTGGGGCCTTATTTGTAATGAAACCAATCACTTCGTGGACAAAAGAAAATTGATCGGTTAATATTGAAAACAGATGCATAAATGGCCAGAGTGCTATTTGGTCTGAAAGAGGTCACCACGCCGGCCATCTTGGCATGCAAAGCTCCTATCGGATTGAAATCTGCTTCTTTCTCCGCAGTGCCAGCACCCAACACGTATAAATCTCAGTGGCAGCCACTACAAAGACCCCAACGTAGATGCAAACAGTTGTAGCACAAACATACAAGTACCTGTAATGAAACACACCATTAGTCTATGATAAACAACGTGAAGCATTGTAGATTGTGTTCTACCACTCTATTAAACTACAGATCTTTCACCTTCCAAGGGTTATAATTTGTTAAGCACGTCACTAAAGCTGGGGAAATCTAGCTAAGTTTTCATGTTTTGCAAAGCTATTCAGAGAAAGACTTACTTCGGAGAGAAGACACTCCAAACAAACAAATGGTTCCTCATTAACAGCAAGACAATGGTGTAGGAAGTCAGTAGAATTGAATTCAAGCCCACGGGAACCAGACAAGGAAATCCAAGAATCATCTTTGCAAGATGCCCCGAATCTACATTTTGGTGATTTGCAAGATAGCTGGTGCACTTCACGGAGATGTACATCAGCATGCTAAGAAGAAATAACATTGGGGACGCGTAGGTAATGATGAACATCAAAATGCCAGAAAGGAACATTGAGTGGCTTGACAGGCCCTGACAATGAATAAAACAATGTTTGAGATTACACTGAACGTGGCTCCCTGAATCTAAAATATAGTACAGAGAGCAACGTCTATGTAACAAACTATATGTCGGTAAAATAGAAACTATATATCAACTACACTAGAAAGGTAAGAGAAGGTACAATAAAAGCTCCAGCAACATCTATTGTGGCAAGAGTATTGCTGTTCCCGAGAGCAAAATGGCCTGCCATTCCCATATAGTACAACAAAGCAACCTACGAGAAAAAATGGGTGCCCAGCATTAGCACTAGAAAATGCGGTTAGTCTTGAAGGAAATGAAATTACTAACTCCATTATCAAAAGCACATACATTTATAACAAGTGTTCAATGGAACACACTAAGGAAAAAATTCTTTTGACTTCAGTTGAAAACAGGAATCTTCATTCACCTTTCCAGATTAAGATATCAAAGACAGGTGCTCATAACTTTATATATTTGCATTTCACTAATTTATAGCTGCCAACCTGTTTCTCATTTCTGTGATATTTGTTTCCATGAAAAAAAAATCAGAAATTAATACATAGAGTAAGACAATAAAAAAACTAAAACAAATATAAAGAAACTGGAATTTATGACTTGCAGAAAAGCTCAGAACAAGCCTTATCTCTTTAAATCTAAATTTCCCAGAAATGAATACACATTGATTGATAACAGAAAATAGTGTATTTGACATGTTCTCAAGAATAGGCATAGCCCATGGAGCCTAACTATAATGGTAAAAAGAATGGAACGGAGTGATCCTTGGTCATAGATTCAGAGAAAAAGAACAGAAGGTAAACCTAGGAAAGACCTTGATTAACTAACAGAGCAGTCAAGGTGAAGGTCTAAACTGCATGGTATTTTCACTTGCTGATTTAACTTGTGAATCACGTAATTGCAAGTTAAGAATTTCTCAATTATTTTCTGTGTTAAGAGTCAATAATGCTGAAATTCACATCTGAGCTTCAGGTTGATTAAAGGCATCACTTACCTGGTTCTCAAGATGTTTGGCTATACTATGTGATATATTTTAATGATAGTCAACTGATTATTGCATGCTGGACTGTCCAGTTGGTATTTATAAGAAGAAATGATATAGGAACTAACCTCCACTTCAATATGCTGTAGCCCACTACAAGAAAAGTAGAGCATGCTAGAGAGGATCTGCACGAGAAGCAAAAGGATGGGCATTGAATTGACTGGCTGTTGAAGCAACAGCTGCAGAAGGCACCAACATATTATATATGCTAACCCAATCAGATATGAAGAGTCTCTGAATTCCACCAATGAAAATATGCATTGACCGTCAAAAGTAACCAAAGTTGATTTCACATTAGGCTTTGAACATGTACCAGGGAACCAAAGAGGTATGAACCATGGTAATGCTACAAAAGTGCCAACTGTGGCAATACCAAGAATTGCATATATTATTTTTTTTCCTTGTTGCGCAAAGATCCTAGCTGCTCATCCTAGATTGAAAAAATAATAATAGACTGCTACAATTTACATATATTCATTTGTAACGACACATCTGTTACAAAGCATCAAAAGTAAGATCAGCAAATGAGTCGGCTCTCTCTGGGATATTGGAATTGACTTGATTCAAGAATCGAAGGAAAACAAAAACTCTGGTTCAGAAAAGCAATGCCAAAGCCAAAATTGGGCTGGAAGAAGGGTGGGGCCTTATTTGTAATGAAACCAATCACTTCGTGGACAAAAGAAAATTGATCGGTTAATATTGAAAACAGATGCATAAATGGCCAGAGTGCTATTTGGTCTGAAAGAGGTCACCACGCCGGCCATCTTGGCATGCAAAGCTCCTATCGGATTGAAATCTGCTTCTTTCTCCGCAGTGCCAGCACCCAACACGTATAAATCTCAGTGGCAGCCACTACAAAGACCCCAACGTAGATGCAAACAGTTGTAGCACAAACATACAAGTACCTGTAATGAAACACACCATTAGTCTATGATAAACAACGTGAAGCATTGTAGATTGTGTTCTACCACTCTATTAAACTACAGATCTTTCACCTTCCAAGGGTTATAATTTGTTAAGCACGTCACTAAAGCTGGGGAAATCTAGCTAAGTTTTCATGTTTTGCAAAGCTATTCAGAGAAAGACTTACTTCGGAGAGAAGACACTCCAAACAAACAAATGGTTCCTCATTAACAGCAAGACAATGGTGTAGGAAGTCAGTAGAATTGAATTCAAGCCCACGGGAACCAGACAAGGAAATCCAAGAATCATCTTTGCAAGATGCCCCGAATCTACATTTTGGTGATTTGCAAGATAGCTGGTGCACTTCACGGAGATGTACATCAGCATGCTAAGAAGAAATAACATTGGGGACGCGTAGGTAATGATGAACATCAAAATGCCAGAAAGGAACATTGAGTGGCTTGACAGGCCCTGACAATGAATAAAACAATGTTTGAGATTACACTGAACGTGGCTCCCTGAATCTAAAATATAGTACAGAGAGCAACGTCTATGTAACAAACTATATGTCGGTAAAATAGAAACTATATATCAACTACACTAGAAAGGTAAGAGAAGGTACAATAAAAGCTCCAGCAACATCTATTGTGGCAAGAGTATTGCTGTTCCCGAGAGCAAAATGGCCTGCCATTCCCATATAGTACAACAAAGCAACCTACGAGAAAAAATGGGTGCCCAGCATTAGCACTAGAAAATGCGGTTAGTCTTGAAGGAAATGAAATTACTAACTCCATTATCAAAAGCACATACATTTATAACAAGTGTTCAATGGAACACACTAAGGAAAAAATTCTTTTGACTTCAGTTGAAAACAGGAATCTTCATTCACCTTTCCAGATTAAGATATCAAAGACAGGTGCTCATAACTTTATATATTTGCATTTCACTAATTTATAGCTGCCAACCTGTTTCTCATTTCTGTGATATTTGTTTCCATGAAAAAAAAATCAGAAATTAATACATAGAGTAAGACAATAAAAAAACTAAAACAAATATAAAGAAACTGGAATTTATGACTTGCAGAAAAGCTCAGAACAAGCCTTATCTCTTTAAATCTAAATTTCCCAGAAATGAATACACATTGATTGATAACAGAAAATAGTGTATTTGACATGTTCTCAAGAATAGGCATAGCCCATGGAGCCTAACTATAATGGTAAAAAGAATGGAACGGAGTGATCCTTGGTCATAGATTCAGAGAAAAAGAACAGAAGGTAAACCTAGGAAAGACCTTGATTAACTAACAGAGCAGTCAAGGTGAAGGTCTAAACTGCATGGTATTTTCACTTGCTGATTTAACTTGTGAATCACGTAATTGCAAGTTAAGAATTTCTCAATTATTTTCTGTGTTAAGAGTCAATAATGCTGAAATTCACATCTGAGCTTCAGGTTGATTAAAGGCATCACTTACCTGGTTCTCAAGATGTTTGGCTATACTATGTGATATATTTTAATGATAGTCAACTGATTATTGCATGCTGGACTGTCCAGTTGGTATTTATAAGAAGAAATGATATAGGAACTAACCTCCACTTCAATATGCTGTAGCCCACTACAAGAAAAGTAGAGCATGCTAGAGAGGATCTGCACGAGAAGCAAAAGGATGGGCATTGAATTGACTGGCTGTTGAAGCAACAGCTGCAGAAGGCACCAACATATTATATATGCTAACCCAATCAGATATGAAGAGTCTCTGAATTCCACCAATGAAAATATGCATTGACCGTCAAAAGTAACCAAAGTTGATTTCACATTAGGCTTTGAACATGTACCAGGGAACCAAAGAGGTATGAACCATGGTAATGCTACAAAAGTGCCAACTGTGGCAATACCAAGAATTGCATATATTATCTGTGCCTGTATTGCAGCATCACAACTGGCAGACACAAATGCATTGTTGTGATACAGGTACCATAAAACCAAGAATCCACTTATGAGAAAGCAAAATCCAACTAATTGAGTGATTTTTCTCCTAAATCCAAACAAAAACAAAGCAAATATGCTTAAACTGATCACTAGCAAACCCGATGCTAGCTGAATTGATCTCACATGGTTAACCCCAGCCTGTTCAAGCCACTTTGAAATATCTGGAAGATACGTCCAGTTTACACCACCTTGGTGCCAGCTTCTCAAAATTCTTCCAGAAATAAGAAGCAAAATGATGGAAGATATGCGAAAATCAAGTCTTTCTGTCTGTCCCTTCATCAATTTGAAAAAGCTCTTTGCACTTCCTGGTGCAAGAGGCTGAACTGCTTTTCGAAGAAATAGAACATATGATGTTGATAAAACAAAATGCCATATATATTGCTCTTCCTCTACCATAGAACTCGAAGCCATACTCATAACAAGAATTAACATGACACCCAATAGAAAGATTTCATTTACAGACCACTTGTGCCAACCAGTAATTGAATTACAACGGCATTGGTTCTCTCCAGGTTGATCCTCTGTACTCATGCAAATCATGAGGCCTAATAATGTTAGAGATGATATGGCCATTGCCACAACCCCAAAAGCAAGTAAGCCAACAGGTTTCTGCCAAAAATAAATAAACAAATAAATAAAATAAAAAAGGAAAAAGAAAAGGGAATACCAAAAAAGAAAAAGAAACAATTCATATTGTTACACCCTTAACAAAAAATTGCAAATCACAGTTTATTTCTACATTGAGTAGATATTTTTCCAAATTGGTTGCTGTTATCAATGAGTATACATACATCAGTCACTCTGCGTGATAACCACTCACTTGCAGTTTTCAGAAACTGATGATATGCTGCAACAGTGCAGCTGTAATCATCCCTACTTGTAGACCTATTTACAGAAATTACAAAAAAGGGAACACAGGTATTACTATAAATTATACTGAAAGCAACAGAGGTATCAGGAATGGTTCCCATAGAATTTTGTTTCATGGTATAGTATCAGACTGTTCCACACACAAAACGCACCTGGAGAGTGACTTTGACTTCCAGGAACTGTGAAGATTTATGGCGTTCATATATAGGCAACACAACATCTTCTCCATACTACCAGAGCATTCTACAATTGTAGATGCAAGACCATCTGTAAAGCCATCATGGCTTGGCAAGTTTCGGCATGATAAACCAGGTAATTGTGCTTGGATTAATCGGAGCAGCTGCCAGGAATTCAGTTCCAACACTCTCAGTTGTTTATCATCTGAATTAATCAGTCACAAGGAAAATTATAAGATAAAACATCAAATAATTTAAAAACATCAAAGGTGTTAAAATAATTTCCGTATGCTATGGCATAAAAAAATGAAAAAATATCATTTCAATCTATCCACAAATTTTAAATCAGGTCCATCTAAATGTTATCTTTTTATAGAAACAATTAAGTTTTCAATGGTCTAGATTAAGCTACCATGAGCCAAGCACCTTGGTGCATGATTGGAATTACAAATGTACAAATACATAAAGACAGGGAGTTATAAATTATTCCCATATCCAGTAAATAACATATGGCCAGTTCATTGGTCAGGGTGTAGTTAGCATGAAAAAAATTCAGAAATGCCAATATTACTATGTTCTACAGCAATATTTAACAAAAAAATCACATGAAGCATATAATAAACTAGACCAAGCATATGAAACAAGTGAGAAGCCAACAATCTCCCCAGCCATGATGAATCATAGCATAATAGAGAGGGAGAGAGTTTAATAACAAGTGATAAAGTGCATCCTAAACTACGAGCAGATGGCTGAAAGTCTAAAAATGGCCAAAATATTAAATGCATCTCATCCACATGTTCTACATCCAATTCCAAAGGATCCAAGATAGAATAATGCAGAAAATTCTATAGCAATTTTTTATATGAATAAGCACCGACTGTACCCTAGGATGTACTTAGCAATCAGCATATGTTTTTCAATGAATTTGCATAATAAGTTTCAACCAGGACTAGATAATATATGTCGGTTCAAACTTTGGGACAAGAAAGCATACTTTCTATTCTAACTTTTCTTTCATGCAGCTATTGATTGCTTATAGATGTATTATGGATCCCTTCATAAAAAGTAAGTATATTGTCAACACTAAAGAATCACCCACTACTCTCCATGGTCGTTTCTTTAGTTGTATGGGAATAATCAGGAGATTGATATGCACATAATAAACTACAAATTACATGGAAATTCATCAGGTTATAAATGAACATCAGGTTTGTGACACAAATGCCTTTTAAAATGCCATTTTTTATGAAATTATATGTAAGCATAGGGTTAACATGCACATAAAGTAAAGTATTTTCAGTGATGGCAGGAAAAGTTCACTGGCTCCAGTAGCTAGACACCATCAAGGCCAGGTGCCAAGGCACCACACACAAAGCTACCACGGTAGGACCCCATGAGCACCAGCATGCCCCATGGGCAGGCATGCAGATACCCCCTAAAGACCAACATGTAGATTTTTACATGTAGATTTTTAGCTCTAACAAGGATAGACACTACTACGTCCCAGTTGTATAAAATTGTCTTCCTGTTACAGAGAGATGATCATCCTTGCTATTTCATAGGCTCCAAACCATTTTTGCAGAGAAATGCTTCATCCCTTCTAATTTCCATAGAAAACGGTTTTAGTGCTATCTACTAATTTGTCATTTGTAAAAAGGCCAGCATTTAAAATTCATAAACTTGATTATCTGTACTTTTTTTATATATATTTGTTTGATCTCTTTAATTTTATAATATTTTCATCCCATACAATCAGGTACCGGAGCATGCATGCACAAATGCACAGACAAAGATAGTGAGAACTGACCTGTCAATAAATCAAATGCTTCTGAAATCAGGACACCAACATTGTTCTTAGGAATCGGCACACCAAATAGAAGAGCTAACGTTGGAGCAATGTCAACCTGGACCGTATATAAAATCATTAATAGTCAAGGGATTTTTGAAGCAAAAATTCCAGATAGTTAGGTTATATTTGAAGAGCAATTAAAATAGAAAATTGTTGCAGTATCAAATGGGAAAGGGGTAAACAACTTGGAAAGCAGGAATATGCCGCTGTTGTAAGAAGCCAACTAGTTCTTTTGATAGTCTGTCGACACAAAAGTATTTTGTGTCGAGAGACAAACTCACAAAGAATTAAAAGTATTTTGATGGGTGAGCATGGAGGAGAAAAGGACTCCCTTTAACAAAACTTATAGCTATCCAAAGCTCAAATAGGAAAATAAATTTGAAAATTTTAAAGTCTTAAAGGCAATGGCATCAGTCGATTGTCATTAATATCATGCCAGATGCAGATGCAATTTACACCAATGAACTACAAAAAGTTTTTGGCAGAGTGCAAAGGGATAGAAGTTGTATACTTTAATTACCTGGTAAATAGAGTTACAAGAGGATGCTGCATAATCAGAGAGATCATTTTTGAGGCCAACAAAAAGAGCTAACGAGTCGGTTTCTTCATACGAAGAGCCCCCATGATTACCATTCTCAGTCATGCCATGATCGCTTACTACAACCTACATATGGCACACAGAACAAATGACAACTACGTATCATAGAGACAAACATCTTGAAAACAATGGTAAACATCTGAAGGACATAGTATTATGGATCTAAGAATGTGTTCCCTTGTCACTGTAGTTGCAGAAAGTTGATCAAAATTTGGCACAGATTTAGATACTTGAAAGTTTATTAATAATAGTTATTGGGATATTGCAGGCGTATCCAAAGTACTAATGCTAGTAATTACTCTCTTTTGATGAGTCAAGAGTATCAGTAAGGTTAGATCACATACATCGGCCGCATTTTCCAATGCAATATCATACACAATCCAATAAAAAAATGAACCCTGTGATCTATGAAACTCAGCTCATGTTCCCTTGGTAGAAGGGATCCAATATTCTAAATGGTTGTCTATAAACAGTTGATTGCTAAAAAGTAGAAATGAGGTAGCACAAACCAGAAGTGTCTTTCCTTGATCATTATCTCGAGTCTGGATAGTGCTCAAATGAATCATCTTCACCACTTCATCCATCTCCTTAAGTTTTGGAGCCATCAAAATACTAAGGTTGAAAAGGATAAGTAAAGATCCAGAAATAAGAGGAAAAATATATCTACAGAATTACTGGTGCATCTGAAAAAGGAAAAACCTGTTACGTCCACCAATATGCCCAACATGATCCAAGCCCAGATAATGAAGAATCTAAAAAGAACAACAAACATAGAAATCATAACATAATAAAAAAAAACTTTGTATGCAATATTGAATGCATCTCTAAAATCCTCAACTTTAAAAACCAAAGCAGATGTAATCCAAACCCCAAAAAAGTCCATAAATTCTAGAGTGTTCATGATAAATCAGCTAATATAAACATTCCAAAGAACAATGTAATAGAATTTCTGGAAACAAAGGAAAAGGGGAAGCAATTACAACCAGCCACACCCAAACTTGAAGCAAGGAGAATTAAATTATTGACAAGAAATAAAACAACTCACCAGAAGATTCCAGTCATCTCTGTTAAGCTCGTTCTCCAAATGTCGAGAAACATTTTGATCTACCTGTACTGTGTCTTTAACCTGTATAGAGAAGGGAACTTGAATAGAAGAAGAAGAAGAAGAAAGTTGGACTAGAAACCTTTCACAGCTGAATATCCCCAACGCACCGGCTCTGAGTGTTTGTGTGTGTGACAGTCGGGGGATACAGAAGGGACGAAAAAGGCAAAGAAATATCAAACTATACTGGTCAGGGAAAACACAAAGTTGACCTACATAAAAACTGCTAACTCCATCATGTCTTGTGAATAATCCCGGAAACAGCTTGAGCCAGGTTTCATCACCAAGCATCACCATTTTCCAACCAATCCTAAAAAATTGACCTGCAAACCAAAATTTAGAACTAGTGTCCACGAGAAGCAGTAGTGAATTAAAGAATGATTCTCTCTCGCAACTAACCAAGAAGATTATCATCTAACATAGCTTGTGTGTTAAAATTGAAAGCCACATCCAAGAAGCCCCCTATCGCACCGGAAACCATGGCCTGCAAATATCAATGGTGAGATGATAACACAATAATAATAATAAAGCAATAAGCATCAAACACAAAATTAATAACCATAATAGATCAACCTTCAAACGAGGCATGGTAACAGTAGGAGGTGCAGCCTTCGCATGGTATCCACTTGCCATTCCATTAGAAAGCAATGCCTGAGTATAAGGCATGGCTTCCCTGAAATCCTCCCGTGGAGGCTGCCCATCCTTTCCGAGAACAAATTCCGCTGGAAGACCATCAATAACCTAAACTCTCATCACATCACAAGCTTTATCACATCACGTCACAAGCTTTATCACATCACGTCACATGCTTTATCATCATTTACTTACCATCAAAATCAGACGTTCAAAAGAAGGATGGATTCCGGAGAGCTCCTAAAAAGATATATATAATCAGAATTATTTGAAATTTGAAACTAGATTTTTATTTATTTATTAAAAAAACCTGATAGAGAGATTTGAGGAGATGAGGAGGCATAGACGCCCGCGTGTGATTTGCAACGGAATCGCTGCCGCCGTCATCGTCGTAATAAAAGCTCTCAGGACCACTGGCATTGTTACTTAAAATTATCAGTATAGGTTGATTGAGGAAGAGATCGGAAAAGGAGAGAGAGAAGGAGGGGAGAGTGGGGGAAAGAGAGAGAGGGACCTGACGCCGGAGAGAGCTGGTTTGACGGGGAAGAAGCCGAAGACGAAGAGTGAGAGACCGATAATTTGAAGGATAACTGCGGATATTATTACTGTAATTATGATTGATAATTTCATTTTTATTAGAATAATTTGGTTGGTTAGTTGGATTCAGCAACAAAGGGAAGCAACAAGTTCAACTGATTTTGTTATATGGCTGCTCTGCCTCTTTGAACATCCTACCAAATTCTCAGGGGTGTTTCTGCTTTTCAAGCTTGTGCTTTAAGAATACTTCTGAAAAAATTATAAAAATAAATAATTTTTTATTTGTTTCAAAAGACTTTTATATAAGTTTAGATGATTTATTGATATTAAAAATAAAATTTTAAAAATAAATAATATTTGTAAAAATAACTACTATTATAATATATCATATCAAAAGAACTCTCTATATAATTTTTAAAAATAACTACTATTATAATATATAATATCAAAAGAACTCTCTATACAGCATGTCTAATTAATATTAATCTCGGCTAATCATGCAGGTTAATTATGATCCATTAACTTACATTAAATTGCATATGAGTTATGAGTACATCCAAAAATAAATGGATTAACTTTGTATTTTTTTTTTAAATAATATTATTTTAAATTCGATAATAAACAGAGATGGGTTTAATAGTTTTGGTATGCCTTAACTTGGTTACTTTAAAAAGATGTATTAAAATTATTCATTATGCATTTTCTAGTGAAAGAGTGGCTTTTTAAATAAAAATATGGAAAAACCATATTCATAAAAATTGTTTAATAGTTTTGGTATGCCTTAACTTGGTTACTTTAAAAAGATGTATTAAAATTATTCATTATGCATTTTCTAGTGAAAGAGTGGCTTTTTAAATAAATCTGGAAAAACCATATTCATAAAAATTATTTCATTGTTAGAGATCTATTTGTATTTATAAGGTTTTATGATTGTATTAATTTTTTAGTCCTTTAGTTTTTTATTTTATTTTTCAAGGTTTCTTGTGCTTTCTAGTTTTTTATTTATTTTTAATTTTTTAATTTCATTTTTTAGACTTTTTAAAATTATTTTTCTAAATATTTTTTTCAGAATATGACAAAATGGCATATGAGAAAAAAATAAGAATATGTGAGTGAAAAAATTTAAAAATTACATGATAGAATATGTTTTGAAATCAATTAACTCAAAAATTCCCTTCACCTTCATTTTTGTTTGTTTCCATTTACAGTAGTAATGAAAAATATGTGTAAATTTTAATTTATTTTCTAAGATTTATAAAATTTCTCAATATTATCCAAAATTACTGGAAACTAAAAGAATAAATGAATTGAAAATAATACAGAAAAATCATTGAAAAGGGAAAGATTTTCAATGAGGCAAATGTGAAATGAAGGTTTTTTTCCATCAACTCATTTATTCTTTTAGTGATAAAGCAAAAGATTCACGTCCTTTTATTTGTTTTAGTGATTTTGCTTTATTGAAAACTTTGCCCCTTTTTAATTACACGCGTAATTGTTCATATTAGTATTGAAAAATGTTAGGATATTATTTAAATTATTTGATTATACAATTGTTTCGGGACTCAATTGGTTATTGCGTGACACTGGCGTAGAGAAGGCCAGGGGCTTGAGTCTTGGTGCTGCTAATATTTTTGTTAATGTGACAGATGATTTAAAAAAAAAAAAAAAATAGAGAGCTGAATACAAGCCTGCTCCTAGGCGTCTAGACTATTTTGTACAGGCCCATGCTTGTTTTAGTGGCCATTTGTTTTTTGGTTCTTTTTTTTTTTTTTGTAAATTTTATGTTGAGTTTTACTTAATTTTATTTAATATTTAATTAATTATAAATTGATTTTTTTATTAATTTTATTTAATAAAAATTATAATTCAAGTTACACGGTCGTCATGTTAAAACCTACCTTTTTTCTTTGATTTTTTTTTATTTGTCACACTCATGTTATTTAAAAAAAATTAAATTAGAGATTTTGAAGTTTGAATTATTATATCAAATTTAAGGACAAGGATAATATTAATTTTTTACATTCCAACATTCAGATACAACCTGTAAGGAAATGCGGGCGAGAAACTACTTGAAACTACCATGAAAACTATGGGGAATAATTGACACAAACCAAAATTTTAAATTTTATAAGTTAGATTTTCCAAATCTATAATGCAAAGGAAAGGGATGACTAACGTGGTTGCCTTTTCATTTCTAGCATTCCACCACTGATTGAGAGGCATGGAGCAAGCCAGCCTTGGCTATAAGGCTAATCCAGGATCTGTTCGAACCATCCCTTGAACCGAGTAAAAGAATACATCATAAAATTGACGCCAAAACTTTTAGATAAAAAAGAAAAAATGAAACAAAATCGGCATGAGAATTTGAGCCACTTCTCAGGTGAAGCTTAATAACTATGCATGGAATAAACAGCAACAAGAAACCTTAAAAAATGAGTGGATAAGCCAAATAAACAAAAACATCAAATCAATTAGCTTGGATGCTAGATCTGGGATTATTGAAGAAACACTAGCCAAAACTGGTGGGAAAAACAGCTGCAAAATATTTTGGAAATTCAATATACATGAGAAAACCATACCACAACATGTTTCATTATCCATGTTACGATAGAGAAGGCTAATCACACTCCAAAAAATAACTAGTTACACTAAATTGCTCATTAATATCTGCAATAATTTCAGAGGATTATCTGATATGATACGTCATAACTGTAATACAAGTCTTGAACACAATGGCTTTCTTTGGCAAACTAATCATAATTAAGCTGCAACTTGTTTCCACCAAAATCAATTCAACCATGCACTCTCCCAGCAAAAAATCGTAACAGGAATTAATAATAATAATAATAATATGAACACCGTGCGTAACAGGAATTAATAATAATAATAATATGAACACCGCGGCAAGCACAACCAATCATCATATCATACAAGGCATGCTCTGAGTTCTCAACATTCTTTAAATTCATGACTTCACATCTTTCAGCACTCCACCCTTCTCAAGCTCACCAACAAGGTCCCTCAATGAGGGAACCTTCATAGCTAAAGTTCTATAAAGTCTAGAATACCTAGCTCGGGTACCATCTGCAGTCCTTGCAAGGGCAAGCAAGCTTAAAGCTTCAGGTAGTTGAGAGAATACATGTTTCATTTCATCCATGCTCATATTTTCCAAAACTGATGGTCTTGGAACGACCCTCATGATTTCACCACCTTTAGGTTCCTGAACACGGGCATCAGCCTTAATCACCAGTTCTGAGTTTGAGTTTGCTCCACACTTGATGATAAACGGGGTAGTCGAGCCTGTATTGAATTGCAAAACGTTCCACTGTGCCACATCAGTTTCTGCACCAGACCTCAAATCAGCAGTAGATTTTCGAGCATGTGCCAGCTCATGAAGGGGGTCATCTTGTTCAGGAATTGACTGCAGTAGTTCACAGGAGATTGAAACGATCAGGTGAGAGAAGGTTACAAAATTATAATAGAATGCAAAATCATTCACAATCCACATGCGCATGAAGATCCAAGAAATACCAGCATCTCAATTGTTATTTAAATTATAAGGTATGGCATCTCATTCGTACTTAAAGGGTTATTCAATTCAGCAGCTAGCAGGAAATGTTGAAAGTTCCAAGGGGTCACAAGCTAGAGTCACTTCCGTCTCCCTCAGATGTTGAAAGTTCCAAGGGGTCACAAGCTTGAGTCACTTCCCTCTCCCTCGGATCAGAGAACTACATCCAGTATTATTCCAGGGTTAACCACGTAGTTTTTCAGGTCTCCCTCGGATCAGAGAACTTCATCCAGTATTATTCCAGGGTTAACCAAGTAGTTTTTCAGGACTTCTAACTCGAAGGTATCAACTTCTATTCTTGGAGCTAGGCTATACATACATAATAGCTTATCCTCCCTGTTGTGTAAATTGCCTTTTTGGTTCCTTTTCTTCTCTAATTAATGTGATCATCTTTTAAATAAAAACGAGCATGTGCATGGATGTAACAATGCAAGGGAAAGCAATAGAGTATCGGTCTCTCTTTTTTTTTCTTATCTAACATTAATATTTTCAATTGTTTAAATACATTAATGATCCTCTAATTGTTTTTCAATTAACCGAATAATGAGATACAATAAAACATTAAAACTACCATGATGGAACAATTTTTTATGATACCAATATAGAAATAGTGTTTCAATGAAAGGAAAAAGGAGAAACTATTCACTTTGGCGTTGTCAGGCTTCTGATGGCAATCCTCCATTTTTATGGACAACAAACTTGATTTCTAGATTTTCTTGCACCCTCTATCATTTACTTGTGTAATGTGCCTGCCTATACCACCACAACTAATAGTATGACATAGGAGCTTCTAAGTTTCGTAGCTGATTATGATTTCCTTGTTTCTTTCTTTTCTTTTCTTTTTCTTTTTGTTCATTTATTAGGAATCTTTGTTATCTGGATTTTCTATCGATCATGTAGGTGGCATGTTACTTTATTTCTTTCCTACAAGGGTCAAGCCTTTGAACTAGTATAAATAGGCAAGTAGAGCTATTTTACACCACAAGCTTTGTTTTATTAATAATTTATTTAAGTTAGATGATTCCAACTTCAATTTCTTCTCAATGTTTCCAGGGTTAACCAAGTAGTTTTTCAGGACTTCTAACTCGAAGGTATCAACTTCTATTCTTGGAGCTAGGCTATACATACATAATAGCTTATCCTCCCTGTTGTGTAAATTGCCTTTTTTTGTTCCGTTTCTTCTCTAATTAATGTGATCATCTTTTAAATAAAAACGAGCATGTGCATGGATGTAACAATGCAAGGGAAAGCAATAGAGTATCGGTCTCTCTTTTTTTTTCTTATCTAACATTAATATTTTCAATTGTTTAAATACATTAATGATCCTCTAATTGTTTTTCAATTAACCGAATAATGAGATACAATAAAACATTAAAACTACCATGATGGAACAATTTTTTATGATACCAATATAGAAATAGTGTTTCAATGAAAGGAAAAAGGAGAAACTATTCACTTTGGCGTTGTCAGGCTTCTGATGGCAATCCTCCATTTTTATGGACAACAAACTTGATTTCTAGATTTTCTTGCACCCTCTATCATTTACTTGTGTAATGTGCCTGCCTATACCACCACAACTAATAGTATGACATGGGAGCTTCTAAGTTTCGTAGCTGATTATGATTTCCTTGTTTCTTTCTTTTCTTTTCTTTTTCTTTTTGTTCATTTATTAGGAATCTTTGTTATCTGGATTTTCTATCGATCATGTAGGTGGCATGTTACTTTATTTCTTTCCTACAAGGGTCAAGCCTTTGAACTAGTATAAATAGGCAAGTAGAGCTATTTTACACCACAAGCTTTGTTTTATTAATAATTTATTTAAGTTAGATGATTCATACAAGCTCTATATCTTAATCTCTAGCTCCAACTTCAATTTCTTCTCAATTTTTTAGCCATATTTGCATTGTTCTGATTACTGCTCTCCCTTCAATTTCTGTTCAGCTTTTAGCCACGCTTTTACTGTTTCTACTCTTACCACGAGATGCTAATCTTGCATCTTCAGCAGCAGTTGAAGGATTTTGAACAGGCAAACCACCATCTTCCAATGTTAATAAGGCTGCATCACTTCTCATTTGTTGCAAAATCTAAGGATAACAAATAATAACATCAAGACATGCAAAGAATGTATTTTTTAAACCCAATAAAAAATGGGTGGAAGGATAAGATAATGTAGCATAATTGTCACGCCATTACCAAAAAAGAAAAGGAAAAGGAAAACACAATTGTCATAGCACAAGTGCACTAAATACAATCTATTACTCAGGGCAAGAAACGAATGGATAAATAAAGAATTTAACACCGCTCAACTAAAAACATAGATGAAACAAATAGAAAATAGAAAACAGAAAATAGAAAAGACAAATCTTTCAACGTCCAAAGAACCATACACCATAGAAGGCCCAGTAACCTTTATAGTATCAGCTCAATTAACATTTTAATATCAAGAGGTGACAAAAGATTGACAACAGCACAAATTTCTAAATTCAATAATTGCAGATGAAGATGACCATCCATTGAATATTTTTAAGAAATAACAACATCCACAATTCACTATTGCAAAACTGATCAATCATTATCTTAGTTACATAAGCTTAATAATGATCTAGCCATGCTATAAAAATTTTGGGAAAATACTCAGCAAATGATAAAAATATATGGAATATAATAGACCTTTAGGTACTAATTCCCATCTCTAGTTTACTCAGCTTTAAGACTATCATAGGTGCTCCTATCTTGTTAGTAATCATCAACATCTAGCCATCACTTTCAGAACCAGAAATTTGAAGTGGCATCTAGCTCCTCTACTTGAGTTCCTATCATGACTAAAAAAATTGCTATACACCCACCATTCATACCAAGTGTTCTGAGATGTTGAAACTCTCTGTTTTTTTTTCTTCTGGACATGATTTAAAATCCAAACACCATCTCCACGTGATATCAATGATTGCTTAAAGACATTGACTTTCTTTACCAGCATGACGCTTTTACCCTTCAAGTGAAAATGGTTAAAAAAAGGAGGGTTGGAAGTTCCAATTGATGACTCAGCATCTCCTAATTTAGAAAATTAATGCACAGCATACACAATTTCTAGTCACATCAAAATTATTCATCAGCATTTAAATGATTCCACTCAGCATGAAAAGAATCCACTTAAGATGTACACATTTACAACCTTTGACTTTGAAATGCAATCTAATAATTCAGTGAAGAAAGGTGACTGTAACATATTTAAGGATGGACAAAACATGCTGGTCAGCTGAAAATAAACTACCTTTCTTCTTTTGTGATCAACAGACTCTAGAGCTGAACGCAGTTTCGCTACTTGTGCTGCATCTTCTGCCTCTTCTGTTGCTAAGGTCCCAGCAATATCCTGATAAAAAAAAAAATGGAGAGATTAAGACAGTGTTCAAATGGTGCTCATGGTTGTAAACACACCCTCATGAGAAACTAGAACAGGGTCAAAATAGAGAGAGAGAGAGAGAGAGAGAACACAATTTGTTTACTGAAGTAAGATCATATGCACCCCAGCAAATATATCTCGGAAAATATCTCGTCACTATATGGCTATATGCTGGAAAATAGAGTAAAAAAGCACTGTCTATGAAGTAATATGGATTATTCACACCTTCAATTAAGTTCAATGCCTAAAGGAAACAAATGACTTTTTTTCCCTCAAAGTTTAGCTATTTGAATTTCCAGATTATTTATAAAAGACTCTTTAAGAGTTAATGCCTGATAAGAGTAAAAAATCAAAAAGCTCCAACACAATGAAGGATGTGCAGCTGCTCTGAAACCAAACATTAATAAAATGGCTTCATGATTTAGATGATCCATCAAGGGTGCTATAGAACAGATAAAGACAGAAACTCTCTCAAGCAGAAGAGACAAAGATTTTCAAATTCTCTCGAGGGAGAGAGAGAGAGAGAGAGAGAGAGAACACAACTGGTTTACTGAAGTAAGATCATATGCACCACAGCAAATATATCTCGGAAAATATCTCATCACTATATGGCTAAATGCTGGAAAATAGAATAAAAAAGCACTGTATATGGAGTAATATGGATTATTCACACCTTCAATTAAGTTCAATGCCTAAAGGAAACAAATGACTTTTTTTCCCTCAAAGTTTAGCTATTTGAATTTCCAGATTATTTATAAAAGACTCTTTAAGAGTTAATGCCTGATAAGAGTAAAAAATCAAAAAGCTCCAACACAATGTAAGATGTGCAGCTGCTCTGAAACCAAACATTAATATCATGGCTTCATGATTTAGATGATTCATCAAGGGTGCTATAGAACAGATAAATACAGAAACTCTCTCGAGCAGGAGACAAAGATTTTCAAATTCTCTTGAGGATGAAGTGACAGAGCTTATGAATGTGAGCATTAAGAGTCCTGAAAATGAACATGACAGCAAAGTGCATCTGTAAATAAAATCTTGAAATATACACCTGTCTGCTCATTGCCAAACAGTTGCTTCAAATGAACTAAGGAAATATAATTTTTTGGTTTTCCAATTAGTTAGGTTTATTCTAATCCCCAATGTTCTTTCACCAATCACTGAAATTAGCTCTCTTTGAAGACCATAGAAAGAAAAATTACTTAAAGGCTACAGGCATTTCGTCAAAAAAAGAAAAGGGCCCTTACTGGAGAATTTGTACTCAAGGAGTGTAGTTACTCAGATATGTGCAACGCTCTTCTTTAGATGGATTGGTCAGCATGAATTAATTCATAGGAAGAGGAAACATGAGTCCTAGGAGATTATGCATTTATGTCGTGAGAATTTGGACACTGCTGTTCTTGACAGGGCAGAGTATTGGGTTCAAGAACAGATTAGTACAAAAAAGGATGCGCAACAAAAGAAGAGCTACGTAAGTTTTTCGTATCCAAAATTATCTCTCTCATCCCAGGGGGCATTTGTTTCTGGAAAATAATCTGCATTCAAGGAAAATATTTTACTGGAAAATGAGTGATTTTCCATTATTTGGGTGTTTTAAATGAAAATTATTTGTTTGTTGTTTGTTGAGTTGGGTGTTTTAAATGAAAATTATTTGTTAGTTGTTTGTTGTGCATGGAAAAAAGCAAATCATTTATGCAAAGAGCCAAACACTTTTTGCCAAATACTGTTTTTTGTGTCAACTTGTTTATTGATGTTGGTTCCAATTGAGTGTTCGCATGTGATGGTTGTATTTATTTACTTGTTTATTGATGTGGGTCCCTTGTAAAATGTTTTCCTTTTCTGAGAACCCTAAGTCATTTTTCAAAGTTTTTAAGGGTGTTTTGAGTTTGACTGTAAATTATTTCATTTTATGTTGACCAACTTTTCCAAAGCTCACCAAAAATTGGAAAATATTTATGAGGGTTATTTTCTAGAAACAAACGCCCCCTAATTGTCAAATTTTTGTCTCCATAAACAAAATATCAAACTATCTTGTTAGAAAAAGGTTATGGATGCCAATTAACTTCACCCCCAGAATTTTACAAGAAAGTAATGAAGCATTCCTGTCTTCCCACGACAACAGACAAGCTGAAACTCCATCAACATGAGCATCTTGCACAGACCAAAACCACATTAACTGCACAGTGGCCACATAATGGGACATGACTCTCTCTGGTACCAACATATTCATCTCCAATTTCTCTTAAATAAAATCAGAAATTTGAATTCTTTTTTTGCACAAGGTTTTCTGGATCTCATATTTTACTTGCCAAATTCCACAGCCAACTTTTTATGACAAGTTCCCAAGCATCTCTATCTTCAGGGACAGCGTAAATGGTACAGTCCACCCACCACTAATGTCCTGATCAAAATCATGCTCTCTTTTCAAACGATAGAGCATGGCCCCTCTCCAACACCAACAAACTCCTCACAAAAAAAAAACCCTAGCTAAATTTAACTAATGATACATTCTCATGTTTTGATCAAAACCATCAGTCACCTTGCCAAGAAAAGCTTTTCCAGAAGAAATAATGCAATAAGATCAAAGTACCATGTTTGTTAGGAAAACAGACAGTCACAGGAATCCCATGAAGAACTCAGGTTCTCAAATATAACAGCAACTCTACACAAAAGACAAGCAACTGCACTGTGTATATACTCTAGTGTGAGTAACCAAACCATGCAGAGAAGATGGCTGCCAGGTTCGTGCCTGGGCATCTATAGTACACATTTCAAGTAACAAGGAGCAAAATAAGAGTAAATCTCAGCTAATGAAGAGGCGTACCTTTAAGTGTTGCAATTGAGAAGTAAAAACCCGTTTTGCATACTCGGATAGAAGCTGGCCAAGAGCGTCTGTACTGGGAGGCAATGCAGCACCCAATCCAGCCATCCAGCCATCCATAATAGCAGTCGAAAGGAGTTCTAATTGGCCAGTGATCCCTCCCGATGCATCATCTCCAGTAACAGAAAGAAACTCAAAATTCTCTGCAAGCCAGGACCTAATTTGTCTCTGCAGCTCGCCAGCTGGTGTATGAACAAAGAGAGCAGCAAGAGCTTTGTTTCCTATTGCAAAACTTTTTGCTTCCTCTTGAATTTCCCTCAGTTTTCCACCAGTTACCTGCTGCCTCCATGCATCCTACAGGTATGGCAAACAAAATTATTGGAGTCAATTAGCAACATGACAAAAGTATATCTGGCAGAATACTATGACCCATACAACAAACCAGTTACCTGCTGCCTCCATGCATCCTGCAGGTATGACAAATAAAATTATTGGAGTCAATTAGCAACATGAAAAAATTATATCCAGCAGAATACTATGACCCATACAACGAGATTTGGGAGTACATAATAATCTTTATAAGCACATCAGCAAAAGATTATAACACAAAATTTCATAAGACTAGTCACAACATTTCAAGATTCTCAATATTTTTCATTCAAGGAAGAGAACTCTTGTCCTTTTCCTGCTGGGCTAGCTTTAGATTATTTATGTTCTTATGCACACTACATGAAATTACTTTTATTGCACGTTTGGCTGGGAAAATAGCAGAAAATAGATGACACAGGGCAGAATGTTAATCTCGAAAGTTGGCAGGAGAAAAGGGAAAGAAAACCAAAAGAAAGAGGAAAGGACAGCAAATGGCAGCAACCTGATCGATTCCTCTCATTCTCAAAACAACTGATGATAACTTCGACTTCTTCTCCAGCTTTATGTTCACTTTAAAGCCTTGGATCTGCTCCTCCACAAAGTGCACAGGGGATCTTCCAGGACTATTGCCTCGGCTGGAGCTTCTACTTCGTCCGGTATTAGCCCTCTCCAAAAAGCACTCAACAGGAGGAACCTACAAAAGGAAGCAAAAAAAGAGAATAGACACAGTAATTCAATAAAGAAACAGATGACTGCATATATGTTCAGCAAGAGAAATGAATGAAACAAGCATCAAATACACTGTTACCTTGATGGACTGCAACTCCGGAGACCTAGCAAGCAAAGATCTTATGTACAAAATTCTGACACGGGAAACAAGCATGGTATCCATTACCCTCTTTGGTTCCATTTTGCGGATAAAAGAGAAAACAGCATCTCTGATTTCAGCAAGTATTTCATGCTCTCTAGAAGCACCTGCTTTAATGACTGCTGCCAGAACCTGCAAAATATTGGAAGTCACCATGCAAGGTATTATTAATACAAGCATAAAATTCCCAGTGGATGGAATATAAGAAGCTATGCAATGAAAACTTTTCAGCAATAGCAGCAGAAATATTCAATCGCAAGTATTTTTATTTATAAAATATAATTTATTTATCTTGGGAATAACTCAATTTTACTAAATGATGTATCAGCTTATAATATATATATAAAGTGAATGTGCTAACAATAACCATGTCACCTTGATTTTAAAAGATTTTCCTATATAATTAAATCCCACTAAACGATTATTACCAAAATGGTTAGTAATCCAAACATTACTAAAATTAAAAAATAAATCCCACTAAACGATTATTACCAAAATTGTTAGAAATTAAAAAGTGAAAAGTACTATGCCAAAATAAATCCAGTGAAACAATCGAAGAACACCATGTCCAAACCTAAGACAAATGCTAGGGAATTTACAAGACATTTTAAGGAAAATATTCCCTATATCAAATCACAGCAAATGAAGATTACCAGAGTACTCAGTTCTGAGGCATAAACACACCTATAAATCATAACAAAGATGGCTAGAGTTAAACACTTCCTGTCACTTAAGTTTTCTAACAAGTATTTTGGAACTAAACCAATGTTCAAGGATGAAACTTAGATACAGGCAGTCAATGATGAAGGAACCACTGGGTAGATCTAGTTTCCCTAAGGTCAACATTAGAAGGACCATTATATCCCCATTTCAAATTGGAGAACTGGTCGGGCTGATATAAATGTTCACTTGAACAAGATACACATTGAAATTAGACTGTAAATTTTCAATCCAGATGGAACAGGCAGTCACAAAGCATACCAACATCAAAAGCTTGTTTGCACCATCTGAAATGGCAGCAAGGCTGTCATATTGTTCAGGATCGAAGTCATTTAGTGCAGCTGTAAGATATTCTCCTGCTGGGGTGGATTTAACTTTCTCAGATCCAGATTTAACCAGAGCAACAGTTCCATCAGTCTTATCTGCACCCAATGGTGATGGAACAACATCCATTGAACGTCCTTTATTGTTCTCATTTCTGGGTAAAGAATTACAAAGAAGTTCACTATACAGCTATGCACATATGAAGAAAGTAAAAAGACAAAACAATCACTACTAAAATCAAATCTGAGCAAACACCTTCCCAGCTCCTGAGACTTAACATTCACAGTTCCTTTGGACAATGGACTAGACACCTGAAAAGGAATATACCAAAGTTAGAAATCTGGAAGCATTTGCTTGACAGGCAATAGAAGAATTGTCACCCAAAGTAACATGCATACATTATCACCCTACACAAAGTGCCTGCCTGGCAATGCGAGGAAATATTAAATAGATTGCAAGTTTTCTGTTTTAAAAAAAAAAAAAAAAAGAATAGTGAGCATATAGAAACTACCACAACACCGGAACAGAATAGATGCTTTGACAACTTGATTCTTAATAGAGTGACATGTCTATCTGAATACAAAGAATTGTAAAAAGAAACAGGCTGTTGAAACCAATTATGTTAATATTAAAAATGAAAAAAAAATCTTCATCAATTCCACGCAGAAATATTATTCTTTTTTAACTAATTAGAATCAATAAGATGTATTAGTGTTATTGTCATATACCAGAACTCAATTACAATGTTCTTTGAACTTGTCCTCTATATATGCATGCAGGATTTGAAAGGTTGAAAGGAAGAGCACCTATTTCACCATCTTGGAAATAAAGAAACAAAACTGCAGAACCTTCACCTCAAAAACTGACATTTTCATGAATTAAAGCATCTGAAGTGAAAGAACTCGGCCTGGAAACTTCAAATCTTTGACATAAACACCATAGTTATAATAATACTATATGGTTTAGGATGTTTTACTCTAGCAACCAATATACTTTGTTGTCCTTGTTGTTGATCAAATATCACAATTTCAATTTATTATTTTAAACTCAATTAATATAAGCCTTTTTTTTTAACGAGTCATTTGTAGTTGGATTCGATATATGAGTTGTTCAACAGGTTCAATCTTACATTAAAACAGGGATGTTTGGGTGTTGAAATAGTGCTTGTGGATTTGTTTTTATTGTGTTTGGTGTTAGTAAGCATGAAGTTTGTAGATAATGAAAACCTAGTTGGTGAAGAATTGAGTAGAAAAGGCACAGACCTGCAAAAATGGGTATGGGTGACAAGGCTGTCTCAAGGACAGATGACATGAAGCGTGTATCTTGCACACTTCTCTCTCTATTCTATTCATTTGATTTTTTATGTGATTCTTTCTTCTTTTCTAAAATACACATAAAACATAATCATAGAGAATTTAAAGAAAAAAAATCAAACACACCCATAAATTAAAAAATCAAACACGCCCATAAGTTATACCCAAACTTTCTAAAAGTGCACATACAATGTTAAATATTAACAACCTAAAATCACACTAATAATATTTAAATTTATTAAATTAGAAAGCATAAACATATTCTCAGAGTTCTAATTGAAAAAAATTGCCTCCCAAAATTTATCAGCAGCATCATGCAGGTAGATGGTCTAATAAAATCTAAAATTTGTATCCTTTCACAACAAGTACAAAGTATAACAAGAGAATGTAACAATCAGGCAGATTGCAAATTTTGGGAAAATAAACTATATGTAAAATTATATAAAAAAGAAGTGATTACATCAACATCAGATGAAATTAAAAAACTACCTGTGGTGATCCAGCTAAAGAGGCTTTTTCTGTTAATCTATCGAACAGTTTCTCATTTTCTTCATGCAACCTCTGCATAATCAAACAAATAATCAACTCCTGTAAGACAAACTACACCTGAGGAAGCAAGTCCAAATTGGTGCGAGGAAAAATGGATTCATGAAATAGGAAAACTATGCCTCTCGTTTCACTAAAAGACACCTATATCTAATATGCATTTCAGGGCCTTGTATTTTTCTTCCCTAGGTATTTTCTCTCCCTCCCTTTTTTTCCATACCATTTGTATGGAAAACAAATGAAAACATATAATTACATGAACCAGGGCTCACTCTTCCATACATCTCAATGTTATTGATAATTAGAGGAGAAGTAGAGCAGTTAGAAATCCATACTTATTCAAATAGTTCTCAATTTCAAGTACATTTATGGAAATTATTGCAGACCTCAATCAATGCATCACGCTTTTTTAGTTCTTCTTCAAGTTTCTTGGTTACTGCTGAAGAATCCATGCCATCCCCAGTTGCCTTAGAGATTGATGAAATCACAGGCCATGATTCTGAGCCAAATGTTGGCCGAGCTTCCCTCAAACGGAGAGCTTCACTGAGCTGTGACTCCATGCTTTTAATTTGGGCCTAAATCCAAAAGTGAATTTTCCCATTATGATAAAACCATTTACAGAAAATATGTGAGCAGCAGAACAGAACACCAACAAAAATTGATTTTTTCTTTCATAAAAGAAGTAATCCTATCAGAAAAAGAGCAACAGCACAAGTACAGAACAGAAGGCCATGAGCCACCCTTTAAACGGGAACATGAGCTGAAACAAAAAGGAACTCTATCATACTAGGGATGTTTAGTTTCTTTGAATAACAGCTAAAGAAACACCTTCGATGACCCCATTTGCTGAAGACCATAACGAAGTGAGAAAAACTATTTTGCCCCTCAAAAGTTACCTTGAGAGATGACAATCACTGAAGCTTCTTTCTTTACTTTTGGGTAAACCCAACCCGAATGGGAAGAAAAGAGAGGGAAAGAGCTATGGATAGATTTGTTCTACAAATGGTCTATCTGTTTAGGTAGGAAGGCTAATGCCAAATGGAGCACAAATACAATTGACATTGCCTCTTCTAGTGAAGATTGGATCAGAACGTTACCACATACTAGAACTCTAATGGATTCATGATCAACATCGAATGAAATCTTGAGGCTTTCTTAAGACCACTGGCCTAGCTTCAACAACAACTGAGTCTTTCATGAGTGAACTAAACCCTGGCCTTTTCTTTCTTAAGACCACTGGCCTAGCTTCAACAGCAACTGGGTCTTTCATGAGTGAAATAAACCCAAAGTTAGTTGAAGTTTTTTAACAAAACCAGGTGATTTCGATGGATTTCCAGAATAACTATATATAGTTTTCATCCGTCTTGTCTGTTTAAAGGGGGCATAGCCGGACACCAGAACATAATAGTGGGGATGTGTAAGGTAGAATTGAGCTAATGTGCGGAACAACATTCCCAGTATGACTTGCCTAGAGCCACTGATTGGCGGAACTTCCAAAAGTGGAAGATCCATCAAATTGATTCATGAGAGGGGGGCCTTTCCTGTAGTAGTTGGAGTTGGATACCTCCTAATTCTCTTTGTTCTTCTAATGTGATGATTCTATAGCTTCTAGTGCAAAGATACTTCTGGATGCCCGCTTAGAGGGAGAGAGGGATTGCTATCAATCAGAGACAGAGAAAAGAAGTAGGTGGCACCCAAAAGACCATAAAGAGGTGAGAAAAACTATTCTGTCCCTCAAAAGTTGCCTTGAGAGATGACAGTCACTGAAGATTCCAAAAATTTGCTTGATCTTGCTATCCTTCATCTTCCCATAAACATCTGAAAAAATCAAGAAGAGGACCTCCACTGATCCTAGAACACCCAATGAATCCCATGAATCAATAGATCTATTCCACAGTGCCCATGCCACATAATGAAGTGAGAAAAGGTGTCCAACTCCCACTATCAAAACACATAACACAATCGACAAGAGAAAGGGCTTCATGAACCCCCTAACCTGCAACAGGTTATTGGTATTCATCTCAAGGAGAACCACTATGCAGATAAGGCACCTTAGCTTTTAGCTTTCTGATTGCAATTATCCAGGGAGAAATAAGATCAACATGGAGTCCTGATCGGTGGTGAAAATAAAAGAGTGACAAATTTACCAAACCTCTCCAAACTCCAATATCTTTTTTCTTGTCTGAGAGAAAAACTAAAAGAATTGAGATAGAAGAAATCTTATTTTCCCCTGTCATTAGGGTTCATAAAAAGCACAAATCTGATTAACGACTTCACACTCCAAAGACAAACTTAGAAATACACTTCCTTTGCCTACAAAAAGACCCAAAACAGAACACAAAAGGAAAAGGTACATATGTTTATTTTGATTGCTAGTTGTGACCTTTTCTCTTCTGTGATAAGCTAAAGTATCACATTTATTTGTTAATAGAAGTGCTTGGGCTCTGTGATCAATGCAAATACAAACTTAATACATAATTGCATGCTGAAAAGATGCTCAGATTACTCAAAGATGAGAAACTACCAATGACTCCTAGACAGAGCCAGGTAAGAAATAGTTAAGAAATTGTCACGAGCTATCACTATGTATAGGAACATAAACTACATTTAGAACCAGTATATATACAGGGAATGAAGCCCAAGATGCAGGAAAGAGAAGTAGAATATAAAACAAACCTGGAGTGTCTGAATTGTGGAATCTTTTTGTTGCATTATAATTTTTTGATCCTGTTCCATCTGTAGCAGTTGAGCTACTTGATTTCTAAGCTGAGCATTTTGTTCCTTTTCCACCTTATGCTTGTCAGCAATCATAATATTCTCTGACTGCATCAATGAGAGAAATGAAACAGCTTAATTTCTGGTTTAGAGGCAACAAAACAAATGTATAACCAGATATGGACAGTTAAAAAGTACAAAATTCAATGTTAAATACAGAAGCACGTGTCCCTTATGCATCCAATCAGATGGCTCAGCAAAGTATAGAAGCATGCATTTAATTTTTCCCAAAATTGAAAATTTTGCATTCCCATATACAAGTTTTCAGGAGGGGGGGAGAATTGGCTAATGGCTAAAACAGATTCTAGCAACAAATTGAAAAACCAAAATTATTCTAAAAAGTCAGGTAGCATGTAGTCCGTGATAGAATGGGAAAATACCAAACTTGTGAAATTACAAAACCTTTAAATCTGATTGCAGGGTGAAAGAAACTTTCCACGCCTTCTGAACTTCATTGAAGAGCAAGACACACTGGTCATTTGCATCTTTGAGTGCTTGCGTCAATTCCAAAACCTCTTGTTTCAGATCTTGAATTTCCTTTTCCTTTTCATGTAAGTCCTTGCGAGCATCATTAGCCTACAAAAATATTACAAACCAAAGGATTGGCATGTTCCATGACTGTTTCAGTAATTGAATTAGCATCACAGACCTTCACATTTGCAACATGCTAGAATGATGATGTTATGAGGAAGAGTGAAACATCAAAAATATTCCTAAGAAGAAAAGGCACCTCAAACCCATTCCAGCTATATGTTAACGCTGTCTAATTCTTTTTCATAAAGAATGAATCTAGAAATTTCAACAATACAAGGCCCTTGCTACTTGTCAAAAGCCCACTGCAGCATTTTTGTATTTTGACATTTTATCCTGGTGATCAAATTGAGGCCATCCAAACTTTCTTACCCACCTTTGCCTAGACTTGCAATATCGCCAGCAAAAAGAAGTGTGTATGTGTTCTTTTGAGCCTTCTAATTAATTAGTACTTAAATATTTGTGTTTTCTTAGTTAGAGATCTGATCCATTAACAAATTAGAAGTACTAATAACTCAGCCTGTTGGCCCAGCTATACCATGTTGTGCAGTGTCATGTTGTGACAGTTTTTCGGTGTTGTAATATGAAATGAAGGAATATATAAGCTGTCTGTTAATGAATTGTTGTGTTGTGTTGTGAGCAAAATCAATTGATTAATTCTAATCCATCATGGTGCTATTTTGAATTTAAATTACTATCAAGGAAACAATTTTAAAACAAGATTTTGATTGAAAGATTAAAATAAGTTGCTTGAATTTATTTTTAATTGAAACTTTAGTTATAAACAAACTAGTAAAGAAAAATGAATAATTATTACATACAAAAATTGTGAAAAAATATTATTCTGAAAACAAGAAAAAGATATGACCTATTTTTTTAAGCAAAATATTAAATAATTTGTCAAGATAAATTTTCTTCGCCATAAAGATGGGGGGGGGGGGGGGGGGGGGGGAGTTGGCTAATGGCTAAAACAGATTCGAGCAACAAATTGAAAAACCAAAGTTATTCTAAACAGTCAGGTAGCATGCAGTCCGTGATAGAATGGGAAAATACCAAACTTGTGAAATTACAAAACCTTTAAATCTGATTGCAGGGTGAAAGAAACTTTCCACGCCTTCTGAACTTCATTGAAGAGCAAGACACACTGGTCATTTGCATCTTTGAGTGCTTGCGTCAATTCCAAAACCTCTTGTTTCAGATCTTGAATTTCCTTTTCCTTTTCATGTAAGTCCTTGCGAGCATCATTAGCCTACAAAAATATTACAAACCAAAGGATTGGCATGTTCCATGACTGTTTCAGTAATTGAATTAGCATCACAGACCTTCACATTTGCAACATGCTAGAATGATGATGTTATGAGGAAGAGTGAAACATCAAAAATATTCCTAAGAAGAAAAGGCACCTCAAACCCATTCCAGCTATAAGTTAGCACTGTTTAATTCTTTTTCATAAAGAATGAATCTAGAAATTTCAACAATACAAGGCCCTTGCTACTTGTCACAAGCCCACTGTAGCATTTTTGTATTTTGACATTTTATCCTGGTGATCAAATTGAGGCCATCCAAACTTTCTTACCCACCTTTGCCTAGACTTGCAATATCGCCAGCAAAAAGAAGTGTGTATTCCTGGTGATCAAATTGAGGCCATCCAAATTTTCCTACCCAGGTAACTTTGCCTAGACTTGCAATATAGCCAACAAAAAGAAGTGTGTGTGTGTGTTCTTTTGAGCCTTCTAATTAATTAGTACTTAAATATTTGTGTTTTCTTAGTTAGAGATCTGATCCATTAACAAATTAGAAGTACTAATAACTCAGCCTGTTGGCCCAGCTATACCATGTTGTGCAGTGTCATGTTGTGACGGTTTTTCGGTGTTGTAATATGAAATGAAGGAATATATAAGCTGTCTGTTAATGAATTGTTGTGTTGTGTTGTGAGCAAAATCAATTGATTAATTCTAATCCATCATGGTGCTATTTTGAATTTAAATTACTATCAAGGAAACAATTTTAAAACAAGATTTTGATTGAAAGATTAAAATAAGTTGCTTGAATTTATTTTTAATTGAAACTTTAGTTATAAACAAACTAGTAAAGAAAAATGAATAATTATTACATACAAAAATTGTGAAAAAATATTATTCTGAAAACAAGAAAAAGATATGACCTATTTTTTTAAGCAAAATATTAAATAATTTGTCAAGATAAATTTTCTTCGCCATAAAGATTTCAGCAATTACGCACCTGAGATTTTGTGATGCAATCAATGTATAACTATAAGAACTAGCTGTTTATTTTTCTTTTTCTAGGTGCGGTTCCTAGAACCTTTACTAATGGTGTTGTGATGCATTAGTCCTTTTCATGCACCTGAAATTCAATTTACAGATTGTGAATCCGTTTTCTTCTTCAATCAAACTGAAATTCCCAGTTTTTTAATCCTAGTCCACCATAAAATACGTGCAGGAGAAAAGCTCCAACATGTCCTACATCACTTGCCTGGCAAATATGAGGGACCCATTGATGAAAAAGAGCACATTCAAAGAGGAAAGATCATCAAACAGTAAAGAATCATCATCAAGAAACAAGAACTTACAACATCTCTCCACTTCTTAATTGTATCTCGATTTCCAAGGCTTAGTGTAGCATTTCTAGCCCTAGAACAAAAGCTGAGAGATGATAATGTCTCAGACAAGTTTGCAATATTTGGACACACATTAAGTATCATCAAAGTTTTTGAATCCCTCCCTGCAGAAAGAAAATTAGTTGTGGGGAAAAAATCAGTAATGATTCAAAAATTAATCTTAACATGGAAAGAAACAATCAGCCTATTGATATTGGAAGAAAAATTGAAAAAAATATAAGAGGAGGAGTGAACGCAATACATTTTTGAAAGAACAACTACAGATACATCCAAGATAGACACATAGAAATGTCTAGTGTGGCAGAATCGAATTTGGTTGGAGATCAGACAAATTCTATCAACTGAGCATATCTACCTTTATCATTATTTTTGCACTAAGAATAGCTTCAAATTTAAATTTATTTAAATCCAAAATGCATATAAAGCCTATAGGTTTGCTGTCAGCACAATTACCAGCACCTTTTTTCTTGTGCCTAGAATAATTAAGAGGCAGCTTCATGCGAATACTATCAAGGAAACAATTTTAAAACAAGATTTTGATTGAAAGATTAAAATGAAACTTTAGTTATAAACAAACTAGTAAAGAAAAATGAATAATTATTATATACAAAAATTGTGAAAAAATATTATTCTGAAAACAAGAAAAAGATATGACCTATTTTTTTAAGCAAAATATTAAATAATTTGTCAAGATAAATTTTCTTCGCCATAAAGATTTCAGCAATTACGCACCTGAGATTTTGTGATGCAATCAATGTATAACTATAAGAACTAGCTGTTTATTTTTCTTTTTCTAGGTGCGGTTCCTAGAACCTTTACTAATGGTGTTGTGATGCATTAGTCCTTTTCATGCACCTGAAATTCAATTTACAGATTGTGAATCCGTTTTCTTCTTCAATCAAACTGAAATTCCCAGTTTTTTAATCCTAGTCCACCATAAAATACGTGCAGGAGAAAAGCTCCAACATGTCCTACATCACTTGCCTGGCAAATATGAGGGACCCATTGATGAAAAAGAGCACATTCAAAGAGGAAAGATCATCAAACAGTAAAGAATCATCATCAAGAAACAAGAACTTACAACATCTCTCCACTTCTTAATTGTATCTCGATTTCCAAGGCTTAGTGTAGCATTTCTAGCCCTAGAACAAAAGCTGAGAGATGATAATGTCTCAGACAAGTTTGCAATATTTGGACACACATTAAGTATCATCAAAGTTTTTGAATCCCTCCCTGCAGAAAGAAAATTAGTTGTGGGGAAAAAATCAGTAATGATTCAAAAATTAATCTTAACATGGAAAGAAACAATCAGCCTATTGATATTGGAAGAAAAATTGAAAAAAATATAAGAGGAGTGAACGCGATACATTTTTGAAAGAACAACTATAAATACATCCAAGATAGACACATAGCAATGTCTAGTGTGGCAGAATCAAATTTGGTTGGAGATCAGACAAATTCTATCAACTGAGCATATCTACCTTTATCATTATTTTTGCACTAAGAATAGCTTCAAATTTAAATTTATTTAAATCCAAAATGCATGTAAAGCCTATAGGTTTGCTTGCAGCACAATTACCAGCACCTTTTTTATTGTGCATAGAACAATTAAGAGGAAACTACATGCGGATAACACAAGCAAAATAAAATAAAATAACAAGAATCAAATGCATTAACTAATGCACGCAATTAAATGAAAGTTTTTTCTTCTTCAAATGATATATTTCCTTTCACCATGTAATTCTCTTCCTTTCAATAAATCATTTTCACATTCAAAAACAAAAAAGAATCTATCCATTCTGTTTTCAGAAAAACTATTTATAGATGCTCCAATTCTAATAACAACAAAATGTCAAAAAATCTTCACATATTCAAGGTGTAAAATGGCAGTACCTAAGGAGTCAGCAAGAACTTTTGTCAGCATTGAATTTTCATAAGGAACAACATCCTTCCTTGAAGTTAAAGAAGACAAGACATCCCCCAACCTACATATACAGCATAAAATACAATAAGATAGTGGCACAAAATGACAAGAGTGAACTTCAAAAACATGAGAACCTGTGTGCAAAAATTATTGCCGCTATAATTCCTAATAAGTTAAATAGACAGAAATTATGCTTATCCCAGTCCATCAAGTGTCTCAAACTTCTCAGCATAAAACATAATGCAGGAAATCTATAACCTCTGTTTATAGATTTAACCTAATAAGTTTAGGGGATTAGCCTGTAAGAATTTATATACACTTAATTGCAAAGAAAAAACAGAACCTCTGTTCCAAAACCCAGTTATTTAACCACAGCAGCACCGAGAAAAGTAGCTAGCAAACAGTGTGCTAATGTAACATACGCTGAGAGTGATTTCATCACATGTAGCATGTCTGTCACACGCTCACTGCTGTCATCTTCTGCTATTAGACCTTCACTTCCAGCCAGGTCAACAAGAGAAAGCTTGCTATACAAGTTCTCTCCACTGATCACATTATTATAATATATGTGCACTGTTACAATCCTGAAAATAGCAAAAACAAGAAATCACAAATAATTAGAGAACAGAGCATAGAAACACAAAACATTTATGGCATACATAAATTTTTCCTATAGTTCACTTTTTCTTTTACATAGGGATACTATTTTAAGTTACATATTTCAATCATTATCACTACCATAATCACATGTTTGGTGATAGTAGGACCTTAGAATTATTTTTTTCTACTGGAAAGATGCTTCGTTAGAATGGAACAAATGTAACAGTTAGGAGACTCCAAACAAAAGGTAGGTGCCCTAGTCCATGGGTCTGTCAACTAAGGAGACTACTCTAGAAGTCCCTAAAGCTGTACACAAAATACACGTCAAAAAATTATTTTATCCCGCAGCAAAGGCAAATAATTATTGAAATTTTCAGAAATATTCTAAAAATCTTTGATTGAGTATCAACATTATTAGGAATGTTTCAGCATTGAAAATATGGCCTTTATATACATCTTAAAGCATGATAGTATTTAAACAGAACACCACACGAGATTGAGAGAAAGAAAGTCTTTGACTATAAAGGATTTAGGCCATACAAGTGAGAAACATTCAACTTTGATATGTTATTTTCCTGTCTCTGAAATGCAGCTTTCAAGATTCTAGAAAAGTCCAATGGGTTATCGACTTTTTCTTGTTGAAGTTCTATAATAGATTCCAGTGATCCCATGCAGATCTTCTGCAAAGTACTCTTGGAATCTGACAGCAAATCAGTTATCTACAAAAGCAAGAAAGGAGTTAAGATTAAAGTAGCAAATTATCATTTACACTACTGCCTAAAAACCCCACCCACTTCCTGCCTCCTCCCAAAGAATATATCGACAAAGAAAATGCCATGAACAATGCAAAACCTGTTCATTGTATAGCTCAAAAACCGTAACAGAGAAATTGAACTGAGAAGTAGAAGTTGAATCTGAGTTAGCCAAATCAAACAACTCTTCAAAACAACGAGCATATAAACCACGATCATAGCTAGATCCTTCCTGAAAAGTCAAATTATGTCAACAAAGAACATATTAGGCCAGAGATTATGGCTTTGCATTAGCATATCCACACACACGCACGCACATAGCAAGCGGACGATCAAAATGCCAATGAATTCATAAAAAAGCATAAAACTGCCATGACAAGGCCCCACAACTAGTAAGGACCAACACGAGCGGTGAAAACAGGAAGCAGAGAAACTTCCGTCATGCAAAGAAAAATCAGACTACACAATTAAAGAATCACTAATTTAACTAGTGTAATCATCAATCATGCTAGTTTTCCCAAGAACATCAGAAAACACCACACCAAATCTTACCATTTAAACTTTCAAAGTAGAACTTCAATAGTAGTCTATAAAGAGCAGGCATTATTTCATGCTTTTATAAGCATGAACAAGATAGATAATCCACGAATGTATTCGATATACACATGCAAGCATGATGAACAAGATAGATAATCCACGAATGTAATTAGATATACACATGCAAGCATGCATGCACACATAGACACATATGCATATGTATGAACCTATATGTGCATGTGTATATTATGCATAGGTAATTATACATATAAATATGGGGATATATATATATATAGAGAGAGAGAGACCATAGTGTGTGTCTTTCCAGAGTGAGTTTGTCCATAAGCAAATATAGAAACATTATATCCATCCAAAGCAGACTGCACAAATGGTTGAACATCTGTGAACAACTCAGCTGCACAAAGAAGATTAAACATTAAAGCTTTGCCTAAACAACAAACTAACAAAGTACATCACACAAGTATATACATAGATGCATTAGCAGAGGATGTACACCTTTTTTTAATGGCGCTTTTTGGATAATACTGAACAAATGTATAACCATTTCAGGCAGAATAAAACAATGAAAAGTGACACTTTTTAATGCAAACCTTGTCCCACATGAGGTCCGTAAACTCTGTCAAATTCAAAATCTTTTTTGGGATTGGAGATGGTATCAGAGCCAGTATTGACGCGAATTGTGCAATCATCAGGAAATTCAACAACAGAAGGACTTTCATCTTCAAATAATGGTCTAACACGACAAAACACCTTTATGCTTCCTGAAAATAAAAGGAGTTGCCAAACTAAATGAGTGCTCAGGAATTGTTTAAGCTCAGTGAAGAATAATAATCCATAATGAAAATAAATGTCAATGTGAGCGGTGTGAGAGAAAGAGAGAGCAAACCAAAGCTCGGAAGATAAGTACCTTTGGCTGTTAATAAGTCATTGAACAATCTTTTCTTCTCATTGATGAGTGGAGATATTCTAGCCTCGGTTTCAAGGGCAACTTGATCTGGCATTTATATTTAGATAAAGTTCAAATCCGTCAACAGAACCCACCAACAACAAAACCTTGAGGAAAAGAAGCAAAGCCGGTATGAAGCATATAAAAATTGAATAAATCAATAAAATACTCCACCACGAACTACTAGTTTTTTTTTCAATATTATCATTTTTTATTCTCTTTCCAATTATTCAACCGCCGTACGATCGGCTGCTCCGCCTCCACCGGCCTTGGCTCGAAGCCAGCCACCTCCCAGTTCCACATATTTCTCTGCTCCGCCATTAATCACCCAACAACCAATTTTGTTATCAACCTTTTCTTCTTCGCATTACCACTCTTTCTTTCTGCTTGTGGTTTTCATTTCATTTCTCTTTTCGATTTCCTTTCCCTCTAATAATCTAATTCATGAAACGATATCGTTTAATGGAAGTGTGTTTGCTCTAGTAAATTATAAATTAGTCCCTTTAGTTTTTAACAATAAATTAAGCAATCCCTGTAGTCATAAAAACTAATTAATTAGTCTCTTTTGTGTAGGATAGAAATTCACCAAATACATTAAGCACCCCGATCGGATTCTTACATTCATACTAGAGACAGGCAAAATTTGATCTGATTTGATTGGAGTTTGATGATGTCAAGGTAGGTGATGGGCTTCACCTGTCCCTGACCCTAACTTGATTTGTTGACATTTTTACTTTTATTAATTTTATGTTCTTTTTTTTATTTTATTTTTTATTATAAAAATATAAAATATATAAAAAATGAATAGAGTGAAGATGTCGAGGAGAAAAGAAAACATTTTTGAAATCATATTAAAGCAAACACGAAGAGCCAATTAATTATTAAAACTACAATGACTATTTAATTCATTTTATAAAACTAGAGGGAGTGATTTATACTTTACTCGTGTTCGAGGCTTGAGCTTGGTTGGTTTTTATTTGTTTACGTTGCGCTCTCAGGACTGGTCGTTTCGTTTTCTGTAGATAAGGGAAATGACATTGTGGTTCACGTGACAAAGCATCCAAGTCTTTTTTTTTACTTCTTTATTTCTTCAGCTTTTGAATCTCGTTTGTTGTGCTGGCAATTTCTGGTTGGATCCTTTGCTCTAGGTAGGCCCCTTAACTATTTGGGTTCAATGATTCAGCTCCACTAATTTACTGAGCTAAGTGCTCTTTTGAGAATTTTTTACTCTCATACATCATTGTGTTTATTTTTTTATTTAAAGATATTTTTAGAAATTTTTAAGTTTTTTTGTTTAAATTATTTTTTATGATTTTAAATTATTTTAATATACTAATTTCAAAAATAAATTTATAAAAATAAAATATATTATTTTAATATATTTTAAAATAAAAAATACTTTAAAAAATAATTATTACTACACTCACTTTATTACCATATATTTTTATTGAATATTGTTCCGGGTAGTGTGCTTTTTCATTAAGTTTTTCTTATTGAATTGTGTGGTATCTATTATAAAAAATAATTTTAAATCATGAAATGCGGGCAGATATAGTTATAATTATAAAATTAAATGATTGATAAAAAAATTAAAAAAAAACTCAAGTATATTTAGTGTTATCCATTCATGTCTTTTCTTTATGTTTTTCTGTCACTTTTTTAGTGAAAATGCATTACAGTCACAGAAAAAAAATTCTGAAAAGCCTAGTGGTATGTAGTATACAATTTTAAAACAAAAGAGAATTAATTGTTTGGCAAGCTAACGGTCGGATATTTGTCTAGAAATTCATTATAAACTTGGGATCGCATCAATCTGTCCACTGCGCGTGCAAATTAATTTTTGCGTGTACACAGTTTTATTACACAGACACAAGTTTTTCTATGCAAAACATGCATCATTTTTTTAAGTGTGAAGAATATAAAATCATAATAAAAAATTAGTTATTTTTTAAAAAAGTATAGTTCAATTAAAGAACCAATAAAAAATATATTTGTTTTTTATACTTCAATATGCGATAGTTAATGTATATTTTCAATATGAAAATTAAGTCTTTGTAAAAGAGTATCTACACTCTTGAAAAATAAACCTCTAAAATAATTTAATAAATTAAATTTAAAACTAGTTCCAAGATAACCAAAAACTAACTAATTAACTTGAAAATAAATTAAAAAATCTAAAAATTTTCTATGCAAAAATTCACTTTTGATGTTTAGGATAGAGTATTTTTTTTTTTTTTCAATTACATCTCTTTGGTAGATTAAACTCATTGATAAATTAGACTCCTTGATAGATTATATTTTATTTGTACAAATAATTCATGATGTCTTTAACAGATTATATTTTACTTGTCTAAATAATTTGTAGTCTGTTTATTGGAATAAAAAACATAAAATACTTGACAAAATAAACCCAATGATATTATTAACTGAAACTTGTGGCTCTTAAGCGTATCTTGAATATGAAACAAATTTATTAAGGTTTATTCTTATTGAGTTGCTGCTCTTTTATAATCTATATTAGCCTATGTGTATTGTAAAAGCCCATTAAAAGTATTATTCAACTTCTTTGTCATAGCTCTAGTGATTAAACTTGTCAGAACTACCAATTGATTATTTAGCGTGGGTTGGATTACATCGTATTCTGTCTCTTGATAAAAACTCATCTAAGCTCCTATAAAAAAAATATAAAAAAAAAAATATCTTTTGAAATGAGGGGGCAATAACAATCATCAAAAGATTTGGACTAAAGAAACTGTCAATCAATTTCTATGATAATTTTTTTCAAGTCAATATTTATTATCTGGCATATATAACATGTAATTATCATTAATCACCCTATGTTCTAAATATAGAAACGATTTATGCAATAAATAATTTCAAAACCACAAGATAAGGTTTATTAGTGTTTTGTTAAAAATTTCATAATTGAAATTAGTTGTATTCTACACTTTTTTTATCTGCAATACAAAAATCTTAAAAAAATAAATTGAGAGTTTTTATATGTGTTACATGTAAAATGCAAGAATGGTCGAGCTTAACACTTTTTTATCTTAAATTGCTAAATTCAACAAAATAAAAGTTCAATAAGTTAAGGGCAAGGTAATAATTTGTGTATGTTAAGGTCTCATCTTAACAAAATAAAAATAATATGGATCTTGAGAGATAGAGGTACAAATTTTAAGAGAGAAAAGGAAATTATATTTTGAGATGGGAGAATATATAAAAAAAAAAAGATTAAAGAGGTGGGGGGAGAGTTTTGCAATTTTTGCAAACATTACTTCTTTGATTGCTTAGTTATACACCAATTATATATAGTCTTATGTATATCATTAAGCTAATTGACTTACCTCTAACTTCATGTGTATACATTTGTGACATGTACTAATTAAATCAACTAATTAACTTGTATATGTTAATTTTAATTCACCAATGATAAATATTAAACCAAGTTAGTATTGTTGTTGGTGCTTATTATTTTAACCGATGTTATATTGCAACAACTTCTTTCCAAGATTAAGGTTCAAAACAATACTTTTTTTCTATGAGATTTTTATCCTTAAGAATCAAGATAATGGAACCTCATATTAGATTTTGACTATTTCAATCTTTTGTCACTTTCTAAAAGATATATAGACTATTTCAATCTTTTGTCACTTTCTAAGAGAAATATATATATATATATAAAACCACTAGGAATACACACAAGATAGCAAGAAAAGTAATCCCCTGGTATAAAATAAAGCTATTACGAAGATTTAAATTTGAATTGAAAAAATAAGTCAATAGTTATAAAACTTAAATTCACAGCGAAGTAAAACTCAATACTTTCTTGTGTAAAACTTAAATAACTTATATGAACATTTAAATCCCTCAAATCATTACTGTAATCAATCCTGATAGTGATCAAATATCCACTTTTTAAATCAATATCTTACATGATTGGATCAACAGTCTTAATTGAATTAATGTTATTAATATTTAAGCCAACATAGTGGTCATTTGGATCATTAAAACATGCATTAAACTCGATATCAAATTTAATAGTCACAATTTTGTTCCTAGTCAATTAAGAAGAACAAAGCAGACTAAGGTATCTTCAAGGCTTGTTGAGAAAGAAGATTTGGTATTAGATTATTGAACAGAAAATGAAATCGAGTGGTTGTTATAAAGTATATCATTTTTACTATTATCGATAGTTGTTTATTCTTTCCCATGAGAAATTGTGTTGTGCTAGCTCTTTTAACTTAGTACGACGATTAAAACCTATGATTTTAAGTTAATTTGATCAAGCTTCTTGTTCTGTTTGCATTATAATTTTTTGTTTCCATCCTTGAACTTTTGAATCTTTTGATAAATGCCTTGTTCTTGCTACTCTTTTGATTGCTATTTTGTATTTGTTCATGAACTTCATATAGTGCTCCTCCACAACTTTTAGTTTGTTACTCTCCACAATTACTGTAAACTTTGAATGATTAATGATATATAATATTTGGAGCGACTCTAATACTAATAATTAAGGTCTTGCCTCAACAAGATGAATAAAACATAAATTTTTTAAATGAACAAGATAGATCTCGAGAGATGATAAGAAAATTAACTTTGAGAGGGAAGGATAGAGAAGACAAAGATTGAAGAGAGGGAAATAGTTTTGCGATTTCTATAAAAATTACTTTATTACCTCCTTGGCCATATAGTAATTCAATACAATATTATTTATACCATGAAGCTAACTAACTTTTTGTAACTACCTTCATAAACATTGTTTACCGAATCAATTAACAAGTTATTTTGCATGTGTTAATTTCAATTCACCACATAATAAATAGCAAGCCAGGCCAAACCAATCTTGTTAATACTGTTGTTGTTGATTGTTATGCTATAAATAGTCTTTACTATAACCATTTTTTTTTTAAAAAAAACAAGGTTTGTAACAAATATAGTGACAAACTAACATGTCTGAAGATAATCTTATACTTAATAGAATTTTAAATTATTTGAGCTGCTTCAAAGGGTAGGGAAATTTGTTTAATAAGCCTAAATTTCCTTTTCTAGACCCTGTAAATGAGTTAATAAATCGACTCACCATAGCATTATGGT